TGCTCCTGGAGGCATCACCACGTCTTCCAATGCTCCCAGTGAAGAAAGCATGACATCAACCACGGGGCCTGCCACCACCAAACCTGGGGCAACTGCAGGTCCAGTACCTTTTCAACTGCTGCTGCAGGCACCAAGCTCATGGTGACCACGTTAACTCAGGGCAGTTCCTCTTCTACTGCTCCTGGAGGCATCACCATGTCTTCAACGGCTCCCGGTGAAGAAGCACATTCATCACCACGGGGCCTGCACCAGCACACCTGGGGCCACTCCGGAGTCCAGCCACCTTTTCAAACTGCTGCTGCGGCACAAGCTCACCGGTGACCATGTTCACTCAGGGCAGTTCCTCTTCTACCGCTCCTGGAGACATCACCAAGTCTTCAACTGCTTCCGGTGAAGAAAGCACGTCATCAACCTTGGGGCCTGCCACGACTACACCTGGGGCCACTGCAGGTTCCAGCACCTTTTCAACTGCTGCTGTGGGCACCAGCTCACCAGTGACCACATTCACTCAGGGCACTTCCTCCCCTACGGCTCCTGGAGGCATCACCATGTCTTCCAATGCTCCCAGTGAAGAAAGCATGCCATCAACCACAGGGCCTGCCACCACCACACCTGGGGCCACTGCAGAGTCCACCACCTTTTCAACAGCTGCTGTGGGCACCAGCTCACCAGTGACCACATTCACTCAGGGCAGTTCCTCCCCTGCCGCTCCTGGAGGCATCACTACATCTTCCAATGCTCCCAGTGAAGAAAGCATGCCATCCACCATGGGCCTGCCACCACCACACGTGGGGCCACTGCAGAGTACAGCACCTTTTCAACAACTGCTGCGGGCACAAGTTCACCAGTGACCACGTTCACTCAGGGCAGTTCCTCCCCTACGGCTCCTGGAGGCATCACCATGTCTTCAACTGCTCCCAATGAAGAAAGCATGCCATCCACCACGGGGCCTGCCACCACCACACCTGGGGCCACTGCAGAGTCTAACACCTTTTCAACAACTGCTGCAGACACAAGTTCACCAGTGACCACATTCACTCAGGGCCGTTCCTCCCCTGCTGCTCCTGGAGGCATCACCACGTCTTCCAATGCTCCCAGTGAAGAAAGTGTGCCATCAACCATAGGGCCTTCCAATACCACACCTGGGGCCACTGCAGAACCCACCACCTTTTCAACAACTGCTGCGGGCACAAGCTCACCGGTGACCATGTTCACTCAGGGCAGTTCCTCCCCTTCGGCTCCTGGAGGCATCACCACGTCTTCCAATGCTCCCAGTGAAGAAAGCATGACATCAACCACGGGGCCTGCCACCACCACACCTGGGGACACTGCAACGTCCATCACCTTTCCAACCACTGCTGTGGGCACCAGTTCACCAGTGACCACGTTCACTCAGGGCAGTTCCTCCCCTACCACTCCTGGAGACATCACCACATCTTCAACTGCTCCTGGTGAACAAAGCATGCCATCAACCATGGGGCCTACCACCACCACACCTGGGGACACTGCAGAGTCCACCACTTTTTCAACAGCTGCTGCGGGCACCAGCTCACCAGTGACCACGTTCACCCAGGGAAGTTCCTCCCCTGCTGCTCCTGGAGACATCATCACGTCTTCCAATGCTCCCAGTGAAGAAAGCATGCCATCCACCACGGGGCCTGCCACCACCACACCTGGGGACACTGCAACGTCCATCACCTTTCCAACCACTGCTGTGGGCACCAGTTCACCAGTGACCACATTCACTCAGGGCAGTTCCTCCCCTACTGCTCCTGGAGGCATCACCACGTCTTCCAATGCTCCCAGTGAAGAAAGCATGACATCAACCACGGGGCCTGCCACCACCACACCTGGGGCCACTGCAGAGTCGGCCACCTTTTCAACAGCTACTGTGGGCACCAGCTCATCAGTGACCACGTTAACTCAGGGCACTTCCTCCCCTGCTGCTTCTGGAGGCATCACCATGTCTTCCAATGCTCCCAGTGAAGAAAACATGTCATCAACCACGAGGCCTGCCACCACCACACCTGGGGCCACTGCAGAGTCCACCACCTTTCCAACTACTGCTGCGGGCACCAGTTCACCGGTGACCACGTTCACTCAGGGCAGTTCCTCCCCTACCGCTCCTGGAGACATCACCACATTTTCAACTGCTCCTGGTGAACAAAGCATGCCATCAACCATGAGGCCTGCCACCACCACACCTAGAGCCACTGTGGAGTCCAGCACCTTTTCAACAACTGCTGTGGGCACAAGCTCACCGGTGACCATGTTCACTCAGGGCAGTTCCTCCCCTACCGCTCCTGGAGGCATCACCATGTCGTCAACTGCTCTTGATGAAGAAACCATGCTATCAACCACGGGGCCTGCCACCACCACACCTGGGGACACTGCAGAGTCCGCCACCTTTTCAACAGTTACTGTGGGCACCAGCACATCAGTGATCACGTTCACTCAGGGCACTTCCTCCCCTGCTGCTCCTGGAGGCATCACCACGTCTTCCAATGCTCCTGGTGAAGAAAGCATGCCATCAACCACGGGGCCTGCCACCACCACACCTGGGGCCACTGCAGAGTCCACCACCTTTTCAACAGCTGCTGCGGGCACCAGCTCACCAGTGACCACGTTCACTCAGGGCAGTTCCTCCCCTGCCACTCCTGGAGGCATCACCACGTCTTCCTATGCTCCCAGTGAAGAAAGCATGCCATCAACCACAGGGCCTTCCATTACCACACCTGGGGCCACTGCAGAATCCACCACCTTTTCAACAACTGCTGCGGGCACAAGCTCACCGGTGACCACGTTCACTCAGGGCAGTTCCTCCCCTGCTGCTCCTGGAGGCATCACCACATCTTCCAATGCTCCCAGTGAAGAAAGCATGACATCAACCACGGGGCCTGCCACCACCACACCTGGGGCCACTGCAACATCCAGGACCTTTCCAACCACTGCCTCAGGCACCAGTTCACCAGTGACCACGTTCACTCAGGGCAGTTCCTCCCCTACCGCTCCTGGAGACATCACCACATCTTCAACTGCTCCTGGTGAACAAAGCATGCCATCAACCATGGGGCCTGCCACCACCACACCTAGAGCCACTGTGGAGTCCAGCACCTTTTCAACTGCTGCTGTGGGCACCAGCTCACTGGTGACTACGTTCACTCAAGGCAATTCCTCCCCTACGGCTCCTGGAGGCATCACCATGTCGTCAACTGCTCTTGATCAAGAAAGCATGCTATCAACCACGGGTCCTGCCACCACCACACCTGGGGCCACTGCAGAGTCCACCACCTTTTCAACAGCTTCTGCGGGCACCAGCTCATCAGTAACCACATTCACTCAGGGCCCTTCCTCCCCTGCTGCTCCTGGAGGCATCACCACGTCTTCCAATGCTCCCAGTGAAGAAAGCATGCCATCCACCATGGGGCCTGCCACCACCACACGTGGGGCCACTGCAGAGTACAGCACCTTTTCAACAACTGCTGCTGGCTCAAGTTCATCAGTGACCACGTTCACTCAGGGCAGTTCCTCCCCTGCCGCTCCTGGAGGCATCACCACATCTTCCAGTGCTCCCATTGAAGAAAGCATGTCATCAACCACGGGGCTTGCCACCACTGCACCTGGGGCCACTGCAGAGTCCACCACCTTTTCAAGAACTGCTGTGGGCACAAGTTCACCAGTGACCACGTTCACTCACGGCAGTTCCTCCCCTACCGCTCCTGGAGGCATCACCACGTCTTCAACTGCTCCCGTGAAGAAAGCATGTCATCAACCATGGGGCCTGCCACCACCACACCTGGGGCCACTGCAGAGTCCAGCACCTTTTCAACCGCTGCTGCGGGCACCAGCTCACCGGTGACCACGTTCACTCAGGGCAGTTTCTCCCCTACCGCTCCTGGAGGCATCACCACATCTTCAACTGCTCCCGGTGAAGAAAGCACGCCATCAACCACGGGTCCTGCCACCACCACAGCTGGGGCTACTGCAGAGTCCAGCACCTTTTCAACCACTGAGTCTGGCACCAGCTCATCAGTGACCACGTTCACTCAGGGCAATTCCTCGTCTACCACTCCTGGAGGCATCACCACGTCTTTAACTGATCTTGGTGAAGAAAGCATGCCATCAACCACAGAGCCGACCCCCACCACACCTGGGGCCACTGCGGAGTCCAGCACCTTTTCAATTGCTGCTGCAGGCACCAGCTCACCAGTGACCATGTTCACTCTGGGCAGTTTCTCCCCTACTGCTCCTGAAGGCATCTCCACTTCTTCAACTGTGGCCAGTGAAGAAAGCCTGTCATCAACCACGCGGCCTGCCACCACCACACCTGGGGCCACTGCAGAGTCCAGCACCTTTTTAACCGCTGCTGCGGGCACCAGCTCACCGGTGACAACGTACACTCAGGGCAGTTCCTCCTCTACCGCTCCTGGAGGCATCACCACGTCTTCAACTGCTCCCGGTGAAGAAAGCATGCCGTCAACCACGGAGCCTGCCACCACCACACCTGGGGCCACTGCGGAGTCCAGCACCTTTTCAACAGCTGCTGCGGGCACCAGCTCAACGGTGACCATGTTCACTCAGGGCAGTTCCTCCCCTACTGCTCCTGGAGACATCACCACGTCTTCAAATGCTCTTGATAAAGAAAGCGTGCCATCAACCATGGGGCCTGCCACCACCACACCTGGGGCCACTGAGGAGTTCAGCACCTTTCCAACTGCTGCTGTGGGCACCAGCTCACCGGTGACCATGTTCACTCAGGGCAGTTCCTCCCCTACCGCTCCTGGAGGCATCACCACCTCTTCCAATGCTCCCGGTGAAGAAAGCATGCCATCAACCACAGGGCCTGCCACCACGACACCTAGGGCCACTGCAGAGTCCAGCACGTTTTCAACAACTGCTGCGGGCACAAGTTCACCAGTGACAATGTTCACTCCAGGCAGTTCCTCCCCTATAGCTCCTGGAGGCATCACCTTGTCTTCAACTGCTCCCGGTGAAGAAAGCATGACATCATCCATGGAGTCTGCCACCACCACACCTGGGGCCACTGCAAAGTCTAGCACCTTTACAACCACAGCTGCGCGCACCAGCTCAGGGGTGACCACATTCTCTCAGGGCAGTTCCTCTTCTACCACTCCTGGAGGCATCACCACGTCTTCAACTGCTCCCGGTGAAGGAAGCACGTCATCCAACACGGGGCATGCCACCATCACACCTGGGGCCCCTGCAGATTCTAGCACCTATTCAACCGCTGCTGTGGGCACCAGCTCACCAGTGACCAAGTTCACTCAGGGCAGTTTCTCCCCTACCACTCCTGGAGGCATCACCACATCTTCAACTGTTGCGGGTGAAGAAAGCATGCTGTCAACCACAGGGCATGCCACCACCACACCTGGGGACACTGTGGAGTCCAGCCCCTTTCCAACCACTGCTGCGGGGACCAGGTCACCGGTGACCACATTCAGTCAGGCTAGTTCCTCCTCTACCGCTTCTGGAGGTACCACCACGTCTTCAACTGCTCCCAGTGAAGAAAGCACATCATCAACCACAGGACCTGCCACCACCACACCTGGGGCCACTGCGGAGTCCAGCACCTTTTCAGCCACTGCTGTGTACACCAGCTCACCCGTGACCACATTCACTTATGGCAGTTCCTCTTCTAACACTCCAGGAGGCATCACCACGTCTTCAACTGCTCCTGGTGAAGAAAGCACACCATCAACCACGGGGCCTGCCACCACCACACCTGGAGCCACTGCGGAGTCCAGCACGTTTTCTACTGCTGCTGTGGGCAGCAGCTCACCGGTTACCACGTTCACTCTTGGCAGTTCCTTCCCTACCACTCCTGGAGGCATCACGTCTTCAACTGCTCCCGGTGAAGAAAGCACGTCATCAACCACATGGCGTGCCACCACCACACCTGGGGCCACTGCAGAGTCCAGCACCTTTTCAACCACTGCTGCGGGCACCAGCTCCCCGGTGACCACGTTCACTCAGGGCAGTTCCTCCCCTACCGCTCCTGGAGGCATCAACACGTCTTCAAGTGCTCCCGGTGAAGAAAGCATGCCATCAACCACGGAGCCTGCCACCACCACACCTGGAGCCACTGTGGAGTCCAGCACCTTTTCAACTGCTGCTGTGAGCACCAGCTCACCGGTGACCATGTTCACTCCAGGCAGTACCTCTTCTGCCACTCCTGGAGGCACCACCACGTCTTCAACTGCTTCCGGTGAAGAAAGCACGTCATCAGTAATGGGGCCCGACACCACCACACCTGAGGCCACTGCGAAGTCCAGCACCTTTTCAACTGCTGCTGCGGGCACCAGTTCACCGGTGACCACATTTACTCAGGGCAGTTCCTCCCCTACCGCTCCTGGAGGCATCAACACGTCTTCAACTGCTCCCAGTGAAGAAAGCACGTCATCAACCACAGGGCCTGTCACCACCACACCAGGAGCCACTGCAGAGTCCATCATGTTTTCTACTGCTTCTGCCAGCAGCAGCTCACCTGTGACCACGTTCACTCAGGGCAGTTCCTTCCCTACCACTCCTGGAGGCATCACCATGTCTTCAACTGCTCCCGGTGAAGAAAGCACGTCATCAACCACAGAGCCTGTCACCACCACACCTGGGGCCATTATGGAGTCCAGCACGTTTTCTACTGCTGCTACGGGCACCAGCTCACCGGTGACCACGTTCACTCATGGTAGTTCCTTCCCTACCACTCCTGGAGGCATCACCACGTCTTCAGCTGCTCCCCGTGAAGAAAGCACATCATCAACCACGGGGCCTGCCACTACCACATCTCAGGCAACTGCGGAGTACAGCACCTTTACAACCTCTGCTGTAGGCGCCAGCTCACCGGTGACCACCTTCACTCAGGGCAGTTCGTCCCCTACCGCTCCTGGAGGCATCACCACGTCTTCAACTGCTCCCGGTGAAGAAAGCATGTCATCAACCACGGAACCTGCCACCACCACACCTGGAGCCACTGCAAAGTCCAGCACCTTTTCAACAGCTGCTGCCGGCACCAGCCCAGCAGTGACCACATACACTCAGGGCAGTTCCTCCTCTACTGCTCCTGGAGGCATCACCACTTCTTCAACTGCTGCCAGTGAAGAAAGCATGCCATCAACCACGGGGCCTGCCACCACCACACCTGGGGCCACTGCGGAGTCCAGCACCTTTTTTACTGCTGCTGCAGGCACCAGCTCATTGGTGACCACATTCACTCCAGGCAGTTCCTCTTCTACCGCTCCTGGAGGCATCACCACATCTTCAACTGCTCCCAGTGAAGAAAGCACGTCATCAACCATGGGGCGTGCCACCAGCACACCTGGAGCCACTGCGGATTCCAGCACCTTTTCAACCGCAGATGTGGGCACCAGATCACCGGTGACCATGTTCACTCAGGGCAGTTCCTCCTCTATTGCTTCTGGAGGCAGCAGCACATATTCTACTGCTCCCAGTGAAGAAAGAACATCATCTACCACGGGGCCTGCCACCACCACACCTGGGGTCACTGTGGGTTCCAGCCCCTTTTCAACCACTGCTGCGGGCACCAGCCCACCAGTAACCACGTTCACTCAGGGCAGTTTCTCCCCTACCGCTCCTGGAGGCATCTCCACTTCTTCAACTGTGGCCGGTGAAGAAAGCATGTCATCAACCACCGGTCCTGCCACCACCACACCTGTGGCCACTGCGGAGTCCAGCACCTTTTCAACTGCTGCTGTGGGCACCAGCTCACCAGTGACCACGTTCACTCAGGGCAGTTCTTCCCCTACCGCTAGTGGAGGCAGCTCCACTTCTTCAACTGCTCCTGGTGAAGAAAGCATGCCATCAACCATGGGGCCTGCCATCACTACACCTGGGGACACTGCGGAGTCCAGCACATTTTCAACCACTGCTGCAGGCACCAGCTCACCGGTGACCACGTTCCCTCAGGTCAGTTCCTCCCCTACCACTCCTGGAGGCATTACCACATCTTCAACTTCTCCCAGTGAAGAAAGCATGCCAATAACCACTGGGCCTGCCACCACCACACCTGGAGCCACTACGGAGGCCGGCAGCTTGTCAACTGCTGCTGTGGGCAGCAGTTCACTGGTAACCACGTCTATTCAGTCCAGTTTCTCCTCTACTATTCCTGGAGGTGCAACCAGGCCTTTTACCACTCCCAGTGGAGAAAGCACGCCATCAACCACTGAGCTTGCCACCTCCACACCTGGGGCCAGCACCCCATCAATTTCTCCAGTGGGTACAAGCTCACCAATAACCATGTCTACTCATGCAAGTTTCTTCCCTACCACTCCTGGAGGCACCACCACATCAGCAACTGCTCCTGCTGGAAGAAGCACGCCATCAACCACCTGGGCTGACACCCCCACACCTGGGGCCACTACTGAGACCAGCTCACTTTCAGCCCCTGCTGCGGGCACCAGCTTACCAATGACCATGTCTGCTCAGGCCAGTTCCTCCCCTACCACTCCTGGAGGTGCCATCGTGCCTTCAACCTCTCCTGTTGCAGGAAGCACACCACCAACCACCAGCCTTGCCACTACAACACCTGGGGCCACTACAGAGGCCAGCACCCCATCAACTGCTCCTCTTAGCACCAGCTTACCGGTGACCATGCCTACTCAGGTCAGTTCCTTCCCTACCACTCCTGGAGGGGCCACCATGGTTTCAACTGCTCCCATTGGAGGAAGCACACCATCAACCACTGAGCCTGCCACTACCACACCTGGGGCCGCTACTGAGGCCAGCACCTTGTCAACCCCTCCTGTGGCCACCAGTTCACCAGTGACCATGTCTATTCAGGGCGTTTCCTCCCCTACTGCTCCTGGAGGCACGCCACCACATCCTCAACTGCTCCTGGTGGAGGAAGCACACCATCAACCACTGAGCCTGCCATGAGCACACCTGGGGCCATGACCTGAGGCCAGCATGCCAACAACCACTCCTGTGGGCACCAGCTCACTGGTGGCCACGTCTACTCAGGGCCACTTCCTCCCCTATCAGTCCTGGAGGCGCCACCATGCATTCAACCTCTCCTGTTGGAGGAAGCACACCATCAACCACCGAGCCTGCCACTGCCACACCTGGGGTCACTACTGAGGCCAGCACCTTGTTAACCCCTCCTGCAGGCACCAGTTCACCGGTGACCATGTCTATTCAGGGCATTTCCTCCCCTACTGCTCCTGGAGGCACCACCACATCCTCAACTGCTCCTGGTGGAGGACGCACACCATCAACCACCGAGCCTGTCAGCAGCATACCTGGGGCCACTACCCAGGCCAGCATGCCAACAACCACTCCTGCAGGCACCAGCTCACTGGTGACCATGTCTACTCAGGCCAGCTTCTCCCCTCCCATTCCTGGAGGTGCCACCACATCTTCAACCGCACCCGGTGGAGAAATCATGCCCTCAACCACTGAGCCTGCCACCCCCACACCTGGGGCGACTACTGAGGCCAGCACCCCGTCCATTTCTTCAGCGGGCACCAGCTCACTAATAACCACATCTGCTCAGGCCACTTCCTCCCCTACCACTCCTGGAGGTGCCATGTTGCCTTCAACCTCTCCTGGTGAAGGAAGCACGCCATCAACCACCAGGCTTGCTACCACCATAGCTGGGGCCACTACTGAGGCCAGCACCCTGTCAACCACCCCTGCAGGCACCAGCTCACCAGTGACCATGTCTACTCAGGCCAGTTCTTCCCCTACCATTCCTGGTGGTGCCACCACGCCTTCAAGTGCTCCAGGTGGAGGAAGCACACCATCAACAACTGGGCCTGCCACCACCACAGCTGGGGCCACTCTGAAGTCCAGCACCCTGTCAGTCCCTCCTGAGGGCACCAGCTCCCAGGTGACCACGGATACCCAGGCCAGTTCATCTTCCATAACTCTAGAGGGCACCACCATGCCTCTGTCTACTCTGAGTGAAGGAAGCACTCTCAGCACCGCCCATGTGACCAGTTCTGAGGCTCGCACACATTCAAGCCCTCCTGTTGACACCCGCACACCTGTGACCACTTCTACCGAAGCCACTTCATCTCCTACCACTCTGGAGGGCACCACCATTCCTACTACGAAGGAATTTACAACAACTGCAGTGACTACTGCCACTACCCTCACATATGTGACCGTGTCTACTGCCCCCAGCACACCCAGCACAACCAGCAGAGGCTCCACTGCCTCTGCATCAACTCTTTCTGCAGCCAGTACACCTCACACCTCTACTTCCGTCATCACCCGTTCTGTGACCCCTCTGTCAGAATCCAGCATGTCGTCAACAATATCTTCTCACACCGTCCCACCCGTGTTTCCTCCTGGTCACTCCAGTACACCTTCAACCACGTCTGCCTCCCCGACGCCTGTGACCACTGACACTGTCACTACCATGACCACAAGGACAAATCCCAGTACACGGATCACTTCCTCCCCCACGGTGACCACCACCACTGTCCCCAGGACTACTTCCACAATTAAGAGCACCACCACCTCCACTCCTGCTGTGCCAACAACCACACCACGTAAGTCATTTCTTGAATTTTCCTTTTTGAAACCGACATTATCTCTCAATCTCCACTCCCTACATTTTGTGGTTTTCTTCTTAAACATCTTACTAAACTCCTTTTGCTCTGACTTAACTTGTTTTCCGTTTAATAAAGCCTGCATCGAGGTTCTCCGTCTCAGCACTCTCTTGCTTCTCCGATCTTGCCTTGCTGTTTCCTGCACAAGTTCCACTATTTTGAACAAAGCGTTACCACTCCCTGTCTGGGCATCTCAGTCTGCGGTATTCTGTCCACAAGTCCTGTTTTCTCTCTTTTGTATTCTGCAGATCCCTGTTCCATTGCACTTTGTATGCCCTGATATTATTAACTCTGAGTGGTTTGTTTATGTTTTCTTTTAAACTTTTTAGTTTACTTTGTAAACTTTCTAGTGGATTTTCTCATTGATTTTGTTCATACTAAAGTATGAACATTTTTTTTTTTTGCAGAAGGTTGTTGCCATTTCATTCATGTGTAACTGTGACAACTGTCTCTGCCACCATTCGCTTTTATTTTGATTTCTCTTATCCCCTGAGCACCAACTATAGAAGCGAAAAAAAGGTCCTTCACTTCTATCAGCTCTGAGCTCCACCTCCAATGCCTATGAGTGTTTTGCTGTCCTTATGTATCCCTCTCCTTTCTCTGACTCTAAAACTTTCACTCAGCTTTCTTTTCTCTTGTTAGTTTGAGATTTGCTCCATTTCTTACTTGCTATTATAATATCCTGTATATTGTGTTACATGAATCACACAATATATGAATAGACCTGTGAGTATGACTCCCAGATTAAGAATACTTTGCCTGCATTTTTTTTTCGAGACTGAGTGTTGCTCAGTTGCCCAGGCTGCAGTGCAGTGGCGTGATCTCAGCTCACTGCGACCTCCACCTCCTGGGTTCAAGAGATTCTCCTACCTCAGCCTTCTGTGTAGCTGGGACTACAGGCGCCTGCAACTATGCCTGGCTAAGTTTTTGTATTTTTAGTAGAGACGGGGTATCACCATATTGGTCAGGATGGTCTTGATCTCCTAACCTTGTGATCCACCTGCCTTGGCCTCCCAAAGTTCTGGGACTACAGGCGTGAGGCATCGTGCCTGGCCCACATGCATTTTTTAAAGCATGCTAATTAAAATACTTGGAAACACTGATTTATTTAGATGAATAGGCTCACAGATATATGATGTGTCTGCCCACAGAACTGCCCAATCCCATCTTGAATTGATGACAATGAAGGATGGTTCTTCAGTTTTTGGCTGCTACAATTTCTCTGGACTTTGTGATTTCTTCCTCTGCTGAATTCCACTTTGCCTGGACTTTCTTTTCTTTTCTTCTTCTTCTTTTTTTTTTTTTTTGAGAAGGAGTTTTACTCTTGTTGCCCCGGCTGGAGTGCAGTGGCATGATCTCGGCTAACTGCAACCTCTGCTTCCCAGGTTCAAGCGATTCTCTTGCCTCAGCCTCCTGAGTAGCTGAGATTACAGATGCCTGCCACCATGTCCAGCTAATTTTTGTATTTTTAATAGAGATGGTGTTTCGCCATGTTGGCCAGGCTGGTCTCCAACTCCTGAACTCAGGTGATCCACCTACGTTGGTTTCCCAAAGTCTGGGATTACAGGCGTGAGCCACCATGCCCGGCTGGACTTCGTATCACATGACTTTTCTCTCTGGATGCTCTCCAATCTATCTTTGTCTTCTTGAGCTCTCTGATTCTCCAATGAGCGGTCTGAGCATTTTCAGGTGGGAGATCTGGACCTTGTATTTCCGGAAAGCCTCGTAGGTGTCTCGGCAAAGGACAGGCGGCTGCAAAGCCACTGGACCCACTATCTGGTGTCGGTTGCATCTTTGAAGGCAGACTGTCCTCCTTCTGGCTTCCTCCTCTTCCCCAGAGATTGGCCTTCCCTTTACACTGTTGAGCAATGTGTGAACACGCGCCAGCATCTGCTTCTATTGCTTCTCACTAGCCTGTGTTTTGGCACTTAGCTCAGGTCTGGGCATCTTTAGTAATGAAAGAGGGAGAGAGACGGAGGGAGAAGGAGACTGATGAAGGATGTCCGGTCTGCCCAGGACTCTTGACTTCTCTCTTCTGTTCTTTCCAAACGTCTTGGAGCAAAAGCCCATAAACAGAGGCTGCATGATGTGATTTCCATGAGTGTGGGTCCTGCTCTGAGTCTGTTTATGGTAAGCCAGAAGACAGAGATGAGACACGTGTTTGCAGAGTCTGTACATACCTCCTGCACTTCCCCAGACAAAACATAACTTGAATACTGATCTACCGAGGCACAGCAATTTTCAAGGAAAGCCAAACAGAACAGTTTTAGATTTTCCAGGTTGGGCCAGGTGTCATGGCTCACGCCTGTAATCCCAGCACTTTGGGAGGCCGAGGTGGGCAGATCATGTGGTTAAGACATCGAGACCAGCCTGGCCAACATGGTGAAACCCTGTCTCTACTAAAAATACAAAACTTAGCTGGGTATGGTGGTGCTTGCCTGTAATCCCAGCTACTTGGGAGGCTGAGGCAGGAGAATCACTTGAACCTGGGAAGCAGAGGCTGCAGTCAGCTGAGATCGTGCCACTGCACTCCAGCCTCGAGACAGAGCAAGACTCCATCTTAAAAAAAAAAAAAAAAAAAAAAGCCGGGTATGTTAGCGCACCTGTAATCCCAGCTACTGAGGAGGCTGAGGCAGGAGACTCACTGGAACCTGGGAGGCGGAGGTTGCAGTGAGCCAAGATCGTGCTATTGCACTCCAGCCTGGGCAGCAAGAGTGAAACTTGGTCTCAAAAAAACAAAAACAAATAAGGTGGTGTCTGTGCAAACGCATCGTAAGCTGTAAAGTGCAGTGCTCAACATGTAACCACAGTAGATCCCTGTTCCTTTCAGCGTGGTGCTTCAATGGAGGACAGTGGAAAGGAGAGTCCTGTGAGTGCCCTCCTGAATATAACGGAGATCGGTGCCAGTACGCGGCCGCTGTCTGCAAGAACGGAGGCTTCTGGGATGGGCTCAAGTGCCAGTGTCCCTCCCCCTACATTGGGGAGCTCTGTGAGGAGGTGTCCAACGCCCTTGACATAAGTAAGTACAATCCCAGGCCCTCCCCCTGCCCCCTCCCTGTGCCCTGGGACCCAGCCTCCACGTAGGCACCAGTTCCTGCCCCACCTTAATGTGAGGCCAGGAATAGGGCCTCTTCTGAGCTGTGGGTTTTTTGTTTTTTGTTTATTACCCAGTGCTAAGAATGCTAAAGCATCACGAAATGAATAAAATAGGCCAGGCATGGTGCCTCTCGCCTGTAATCTCAGTGCTTTGGGAGTCTGAGGCAGGATTGCTTGAAGCCAGGAGTTCAAGACTGGCCTGGGCAACATTGTGAGATACCATTTCTTAAAAAAAATAAAATAAAATTGGCCAAGTGCGGTGGCTCACGCCTGTAATCCCAGCAACTAGGACTACAGGTGTGCACCACCACACCCTGCTCATTTTTTTGTTTGTTTGTTTCTTTGAGATGGAGTCTCGCCCTGTCACTCAGGCTGGAGTTCAATGGTGTGGTGGAGATCGGTGCCAGTATGCGGCCGTTGTAATGGGAGGCCGAGGCAGGTGGATCACAAGGTCAAGAGTTCAAGACCAGCCTGGCCAAAATAGTGAACCCCTGTCTCTACTAAAAATACAAAAATTAGCCAGGTGTGGTGGCACATGTCTGCAGTCCCAGCTACTCGGGAGGCTGAGGCAGGGAATCGCTTGAACCAGGGAGGCAGAGGTTGCAGTGAGCTGAGACCACACCATTGCACTCCAGCCTGAGTGACAGGGCGAGACTCCATCTCGAAAAAACAAACAAAAAAATGAGCTGGGTGTGGTGGTGCACACCTGCAGTCCTAGCTGCTTGGGAGGCTGATGTGGGAGGGTAGCTTGAGCCCAGGAGGTTGAGCTGCACTGAGCTATGATCTCACCACTGTACTCCAGCCTGTGCAACAGAGCAACACCCTGGAAGGAAGGAAGGGAGGGAGGGAGGGAGGGAAGGAAGGAAGGAAGGAGGGAAGGAGGGAAGGAGGGAAGGGAGGGAGGGAGGGAAGGAGGGAGGGAGGGGAAGAAGGAAGGAAGGAAGGGAGGAAGGAAGGGGGGAAGGAGGGAAGGGAGGGAGGAAGGAGGGATGGAGGGAAGGAAGGAGGGAAGGAGGGAGGGAGGGAAGGAGGGAAGGAGGGAAGGAAGGCAGGAAGGGAGGGAAGGAAGGAGGGAAGGAGGGAGGGAGGGGAAGAAGGAAGGAAGGGAGGAAGGAGGGAGGGAGGGAAGAAAACAAAGAAGGGAAGAAGGAAGGAAGGGAGGAAGGAAGGAAGGGGAAATGAATAAAACAAGAAGGTGTATTTCTGACACAAATTTGGCACAGAATTTTACCATAAAATACAACGGAGGCCACTTCCTCCACCCAGGCTGGGGGCAGATCTTCTGAGTAGGAAACTCAGGGATGCTCAGCTCAGTAAGTCTACCCTCCTCAGAGCCACCACCGGAGACAGTCTCCGCCCAAATGGAAATGACTGTGACAGTGACCAGTGTGAAGTTCACCGATGAGCTGAATGACCACTCTTCCGAGGAATTCAAGAATTTCAACAAGACATTCACAGAAGAGGTAAGTCTGGGAGAGCAAGACCCCATGGCCACTCAGTTCCCCCAGAGCAGAGTCTGTAGGGTTAAGGAGGCAGCTGGGGGCTATTCCCTTGTTAGATGCGCAGGAGCTTTCTCCGGCTCCCGTGTCCTCAGGGTTTGCCAGTGGAGGAAGGAAAAGATGAAGCCAGGTTTTACCTGGGGGCTGCAGGAGGCCCTGGGCAGAGCAGGTCTCTGCAAAGGGACCACTGCACGTGACAAGTCTGCTACGATGCCCTGGGACAGGTCCTGTGCCCTGACGTCCCATGGAAAGGCCCCGTGGGGCCTCTGGAATGACACAGTGGCCCCTTGCCTTTCAGATGAACCGTGTGTACGCCAATATCTCTGAGTATGTCGGGGTGAACATCACAAAGCTACGGTGAGTGTCTGGGCCGTGGGCAGAGGCTCTGCGGCACGGAAGCAGCAGTCGTAATTATAAAGGCAATTGGAACGGCGCCCCCCCCCACGTTACTGTGCTCGGGCAGCTCTCACAGAAGACCACCGACGGGGTGGCTTAAACAGCAGAAATCTGTTTCTCCCAGTTCTGGAGGCTGGAGGTCCAAGATGAAGGTGTGGGTGGGTGGTTTCTCCGGAGACCTCTCTCCTGGGCCCGTGGATGGCCACCTTCTTGCCGTGTCTTTGCATGGTCCTTCCCTGTGCACACCTCCATGCTGCCTCTGCATATCCAAATTTCCCCTTCTTATAAGGGCACCAGTCAGACTGGATGGGACCTGCACTGACGGCCTCATTTTAACTTAATCGCCTCTGTAAAGGCCCTGTCTCCAAATATAGTCACCTTCTGAGCTTCTGGGGGTTACGGCTTCAATATATCAGTGTAGGTGGTGCCAGGTACAGTGGCTCACATCTGTAATCCCAGCACTTTGGGAGGCCGAGGCGGAAGGATCATTTGAGGCCAGGAGTTCGAGAGCAGCCTGAGCAACATAGCAAGACCTTGTCTCTACAAAAAATACCAAAATTAGCAGGGCATGGTGGTGTGCATCTGTACACGTAGCTACTCAGGAGGCTGAGGTGGGAGGATCACTTGAACCTGGGAGGTGGAGGTTACGGTGAGCTGAGATTGCGTCACTGCACTCCAGCCTGGGTGACAAAGCAAGACTCTGTCTCAAAAACAAAGAGAGAGAGAGAGAGAGAGGGAGAGAGAGAGAGAGAGAGAGAGAGAGAGAGAGAGAGAGAGAGAAGGCTGCCTGGAACATGATTTGAGAGATAAGCACCGATTCTTACCTGAGGATGTCTTCCCCTCCCTCCTCAGGCTTGGCAGTGTGGTGGTGGAGCATGAGGTCCTCCTAAGAACCAAGTACACACCAGAATTCAAGACAGTGTTGAACAATGCCAGCATGGCCGTGAAAGAAAAAATCACCAAAGTGACTGAGGAGCAAATAATGATTAATGATAATTGCACAAGTAAACTGGGCTTCCAGGGAGGGAGGGCAGGGAGGGGGCATCAGGGCTGGGGCGTGACTTTCTTAGTAGAGGGGAGGGCTCAGAGTGAGGATGGCTAACGGGCAGGTGCAAGAGTCACTGTGGGGTCCTAGAGTCCCTGGGGGTGCAGCTCAAGGAAACCCCAGGATTGGGCCAAGAGAGCCTTTCACCTTTGTCATCCTCTGGCCCATTTTGTCCCTGGGGTAAAGGAAGGGACAAAGGCCGATGGAGAGAGTAGAATGTGGAGCCATCTAGGAATTCATCCTAGAACCTGCAAGGGCAGACATATAAACAGGCCAGATCATCCAGGGCACCAGGACTAAGCGGTACAGGGCAGGAGAGTCTGCTGGAAATGGGGACCAATGGGCCCGGTTACACAGGGGTTCATCTAAGTGTGTGGATCATGGCAGAAGAGGGGAGAAGGTGGCATTGGGCAGCTGTGGTGGCTTCCGCCTGTAATCCCAGCTCTGTGGGAGGCCAAGGCAGGCAGATCCCTTGAGGCCAGTAGTTTGAAACCAGCTTGGTCAACATGGTGCAACCTTGTCTCTACTAAAAATACAAAATTAGCTGGACAAGATGGTGGGTGCCTGTAGTCTCAGCTACTTAGGAGGCTGAGGCAGGAGAATTCCTTGAATCCAGGAAGCAGAGGTTGCAGTGAGCTGAGATTGCACCACTGCACTCTAGCCTGGGTGACAGAGCAAGACTCAGTCTCAAAAAAAAAAAAAAAAAAAAAAAAAAAAGGCCAAAAGGCTAGGCATGGTGTCTCACGCCTGTAATCCCAGCACTTTGGGAGGCCAAGGCAGGTGGATCACAAGGCCAGGAATTTGAGACCAGCCTGACCAACATGGTGAAACCCCGTCTATACTAAAAATACAAAAATTAGCTGGGTGTGATGGCATGCGCCCGTAATCCCAGCTACTCAGGAGGCTGAGGAAGGAGAATTGTTTGAACCAGGAGGTGGAGCTTGCCGTGAGCCGAGATCACACCACTGCACTCCAGCCTGGGCGACAGAGACGTCATCTCGAAAAAAACAAAAAAACAAAAAACAAAAAACTAGCTGGGCAAAGTGGTGCATGCCTGTAGTCCCAGCTCTTTGGGAGGCTGAGGCAGGAGAATCACTTGAACCTGGAAGGCGGAGGTTGCAGTGAGCTGAGATTGCATCACTGCACTCCAACCTGGTGACAGAGCGAGACTCCGTCTCAAAAAGAAAGAAAGAGAGAGAAAAGAAAGAAAGAAAAAAGAAAGGAAGGAAGGAATGAAAGGGAGGAAGGAAGGAAAGAAAGAAAGAAAATGGAGGTTTGGGACCAAAAGGGCACAGGGGGACTCAGGACACTTGGAGGGTCACCAGATGTGAGGCTGATGCTGGCCTCTGCAGGGGTGAGGTTCCCACCTCCCCATAGCCACCCACCCTCTACACACACACGCACACACACACACCCACACCCACACACACACACACACCCCTCAGCTCCCCGAGGATGCAAAACAAGCATGTGTGTGTCATGCGGGGTTTTTGTGTGTCTCCTTCACAGGCTTGCTGTGTTACAACACCAGCGGTACCCAGGTGCAGAACATCACGATGACCTTCGTACAACGCTGAAGGTAGGTGACAACACAAGGGGTCTGGGGGAAGGCTGGAGAGGGGGAACCCAGGAGGAGCAGGGCAGTGCCCCCAAGCCCCCTGGTCACGCTGCTCCCTGTCCCCGCACCCCCACCAGCGGAATGCCGGCAGGCGGCTGGGCCGGACTACGCAGACTACTTCCTCGTGGAGTACCAGGACCAGCAACCAAAATGCATCAACCCCTGCGAGTCCGGCTACAAGGCCTCCAAGAACTGTAACTTCGGCAAGTGCCAGTTGCTTCGAAGCGGCCCCCAGTGCTAGTGAGTGCTTCCCCATCTCTTCTAGACCAGCCCAGACGTCCTGGTCCTCCCCATCCCCTGCAGCGCTTCTCCCCAGGCACTGCCTAGAGGCCAAGGTCATGGGACTAGGTCCCAGCCTCTCCTGAATGTGTCCAGCTGCAGAGGAATTGGGGTGGGGAAAGACATGAGTAGCTGAGCTCCAAGCCTGCGTCCATAACAGCCCCAGCCCTCCCTGGCGTCCTCTCTGTGCTGAGGAGGGCTGAGGACGGTGACAACCTCCTGGAAAAGTTGTCCAATGGGGGAACAGAGAGAGAGAGACTTGCTTCCAGAGGGAGAGTAAGATTCTCTGCTAGTGGCATAGAAACAGAAGGCCACACACCCATACGGGGAGTGGGGAGACGTGCTAAAGCCCAGTCACAGAGGTAGGAAAGTTCAGAAAAACACTGCCACTTGAAACAGAACCAAAGAGAGAGACCAGCTAGAGCGTCCGGTGCAGGAAGAAGACGCATGTATGCAAAGACCTGAGTCGTCAGTTTGGGAAGGCTTCCTGGAAAAGGCGGTCACAAGCTGGAAAGGGGAAGAAAGGAATAGGGCTTAGAGAAGCATCTCCAGGCAGCCGGGAGGAAGAGCTTCAGGGGTATAATAGAAGCTTTGGATCAGTCGGCAGCCTGGCTTTCTTGACAGAGAGGAGAGCTGAAAGCGAGGATGGTTAATGGGTGGGTGCAAGAGTCACTGTGGGGTCCTGGAGTCGCTGGGGGTGCAGCCCAGGGAAGACCCAGATTGAGCCAACTGTCCTAGGTCCTGGGTTGCAACTGGAAGCCAAACCTAAAAGCCTGGAGTGGGAATTTAGCTCATCTGAGGACCAGCTCCAGGGTTGCTAGTCTTCATCTACGTTCATCCCTGCAGGGTGCCTTGCTTTAGACCCCCTGCCAATCTCTTCTCACCTCCTCCCCATTAAACACCCAAGGGGCAGGGCCCAGGTCTGAAGCTGGTGCTGACTCTGTTCTCTCTCCCACACTGTTCTTTCTCTCCATCTCAGCTGCGTGACCACGGAAACTCACTGGTACAGAGGGGAAGCCTGTGACCAGGGCATCCAGAAGAGTCTGGTGTACGGGCTTGTGGGAGCAGGGTGTGTGCTGGTGCTGATCATCCTGATAGCTCTCCTGATACTCGCTTTCCGCTCCAAGAGAGAGGTGAAACGGTGAGTGAGCCCCTACCGCCTCCTCTTCCAGCTCCCTCCAGCTCCTCCTCCTCCTCTGATCCCTCTGTCTCTAATCACTTTATCCTCGAGGTAGACAGTGGGGGAGCTAAAAACAGGGATACAGCTTGTCCCTGGTCCTTGTTCTTGTTCCCCAATGCTAACAGGGTCTCTCTGGTGTTTCCATCCATAGGCAAAAGTCCAAATTGTCTCAGTTGTACAAGTGGCAAGAAGAGAAAGGTGGATCAGCTCCTGGGACATTCCAAAACATTGGCTTTGACATCTCCCAAGGTATTGGCCTTCCTCTCTGAACTCAATGGCTCAAAATGTGGAAACAGGCTGAGTGCAGTGGGCTCACGCTTGTAATCCCAGCACTTTGAGAGGCCAAGGCAGGAGGATTGCTTGAGGCCAGGAGCTTGAGGTCAGCCTGGGCAACAACACAGCAAAACCCTATCTCTTAAAAAAAAAAAAAAATTGAGGTCAGGATGAGACCAGCCTGGACCACATGGCGAAACCCTGTCTCTATTAAAAATACAAAAAATTAGCTGGGTCCAGTGCTAGGCACCTGCAATCCCAGCTACTCAGGAAGCTGAGGCAGGAGAATTGCTGGAACCCAGGAGGTGGAGGCTGCAGTGAGCTGAAACTCCAGCCTGGGTGATAGAGCAAGATTCCATCTCAAAAGAAGAAGGAGAAGGAGAAAAGATAGGACAGATAGAAAACACAAAATAAAATGATAGGAAGGAATTCAAATATATCATGAATCATACATAATATGTATAAGTAGATTAAACTTTAGTTAAAAAAGGAATTTTTTTAAAAAAAATCTAGGTATCTGCTGTGGATGAGAGGCACATGTGAAACAGAAACACAAAGCTTGGAAACAAAAGTGTGGAAGATACAAAACAGGATAATAGTAAACAAGTATCTGCTGTTTTATGTATAGCTGTACTCATTGCAGGCACATGATCTTTAAAGCAAAGAGAATTACTAGAGACAACAATGTTCAGTATTAGGAAATGGCTCACTCTGTTAGACACAAGTCTAATTTTTATGCTCAATTAGTACAATCTCCCATATCTTTGGAAATTTTTTTAAGTTTCTAAATAATGTATGAATCAGATAAGAGATTATAGTTAAAGTGAGAAAATACTTAGTATCAAGACTTGCGGGATGCAGTTATAGCTGTACTCAGAAGAAAATTCATAGCCTTAATATGCCTGTATTAGAAAGCTGCTGAGTCAGGTAATGTTGATAGTTTGTCACATTTTCAATGGTTTTCAGTTTCCTAAGGGTGGGGACAAACTCCCTTATCCTCCATTGAATGGGATTAAAGGGAAAGAGGAAAGTTTGTCCTTCTAACCTCCTGTTTCCATGGGGTTTTTCATCTCTCTAGAAGAAAATGATTCCATCCACCTGGACTCCATCTACAGTAATTTCCAGCCCTCCCTGGGCCACATAGACCCTGAAACAAAGGTAAGAAGGGCCTGGATGGGATGCTGGCCTCTCCCAAACTTATGACTTTCTTCTCCTTTCCTACATGGTAGGACCTTCAGGGAAACAAAGCTGTGTTGACAGTTTATTGGTCCAGGTAATCCTTCCAGGTCCATTCTGCCAGGAAACAAGCCTAACTAACGGGGAGAATAAGAGCCAAGTAGGAAGGTGGAATCAACTTCCTTTGACTTCTGAGGCTTCAGGTTCTGAGGTTTCCTTCCCTTCTCTAAGTATATTCTTGATGGCCAACTAATTTAGTTATTTCAATTTGTAAACACACATAAAAGTCAAAATAGTAGTGCAGTAAATACTTACATATTCCATCTAGCTCCACAAGACTTAACATGTCATACTAATTTTTGCTGAGTAATTTGGAAGTCAGCTGCCAACATTATGACACTTGATCCCTAACCATTTCAGCACACACTTCCTAATACCATGATTATATCCAATACATTGATAATAACTCCACAATGTCATCTGATAGCCAGTTTTCCCAATTAGCCCAAGGACATCTTTTATTACTAGTTTTTATTTTTCTCAGAAGTGGATACAACAGATTTCACACACTGGCTTCTGTTATGTCTCTTTGGTATTTTGGATTTAGAATGGGCTCCTATGTTTTTAAATAGATTGATTTGTTAAGAGTCTAGGATAGTTGTCTTGAAAAATGTCTCAGCTGGGCTCTGTGGCTCATGATTGTAATGCCAGCACTTTGGGAGGCCGAGGTGAGCAGATCACAAGGTCAGGAGTTTGAGACCAGCCTGGCCAACAAAGTGAAAGCCTGTATCTACTAAAAATACAAAAATTAGCTGGACATGATGGCACGTGCCTGTAGTCCCAGCTACTCAGGAGGCTAATGCAGGAGAATCGCTTGAACCCAGGAGGCAGAGGTTGTGGTGAGCAGAGATGGTGCCACTGCACTCCAGCCTGGGCAACAGAGGGAGATTCTGTCTCCAAAAAAAAAAAAAAAAGTCTCACACTCCTGGTTTGTTTCATGGTGTCATCTAACTTGTCCCCCATCCTTAATATCAGAGGTATCAGAGGTATTAGCAGTATTCTAGTTTTGGAAATACTGGAGGTTGGGTCTAGAGGCTTAACTGAAATCAGATTAAACATTTTTGTTATGTCATAGATAATGCTATTGCCTCACTTCAACAAGCATGTAACATCAGTTTGTCCCTGCATGATTAAGGCCAAGATTGGTCACGTGGGCAAAAGGACCACTCCTTGATGATCACTGCCTTAATATTATTTAAACTGAATGGATATTTGAGGGGAGGAGAAATACTATGTGTGAACGGCTTTGGGTGCCATGCTCCCTTGACACATCCCTTTGGGGCAAAGATGAAATCTCCAGCCAGGATACCTGCAAACCTACCTGGCAGGGAGGGGAAGACAAAATTGGTTTGTGCTAGAATCCAGGTCATAGGATGAGTTCTAAACCAACCACTTAAGTCAGATGAAGTGGCTCATGCCTGTAATCCCAGCACTTGGGGAGGCCAGGGCAGGAAGATCACTTGAAGTCAGGAGTTTGGGACCAGCCTGAACAACAAAGTGAGACTCTGTCTCTCTATAAAGAATAATAATAATAGCCAGGCACAGTAGCTCTGAGCACTTTGGGTGGTCAAGGTCGATGGATCACTTGAGCCCAGGAGTTTGAGACCATCCTGGGTAACATGGTGAAACTCTCCACAAAAACTTTAAAAATTATCCAGGTGTGGTGGTGTGCACATGTAGTCCCAGCTACTGGGGAGGCTGAGTTGGGAGGATCATTTGAGCCCAGAAGTTAAAGGTTGCAGTGAGCCATGATTGTGCCACTGCTCTCCAGCCTGGATGGCAGAGTAAGACCATGTCTCAAAAAAATTAAAAAAAAATAAGAATAATTAAACTGAACACTTCCCATCCCAAGCCTTTTTATACTTCCAAAATCCCAAATTCCTCATGGGCCAAGCCCTCACCTGGTTTTATCTGTCTTTTCAGATCCAAATTCAGAGGCCTCAGGTGACGGTGACATCACTTTAAGGCATGAAGCTGAGAAGTCCTGGAGTGAGGATATCACAGTCTGGCTAAGCTTGGTGGAACATTTGCCCATAAAGGGACTTCCATGGGAACTCAATTGAAACAAGCCCTGTACTTATCAAGGAGAAAGAGGAGAGAGACAGCAGTGGTGGGAGATTCTTAAATGGAAAACCATGGAAGCTCCAACGGGCTTGTCATGATATCAGGCTAGGCTTTCATGTTCATTTTTCAAGGAGGTTCCAGATTTGAGGGTGATACGGCTGTAACATAGGTCCCCCCATTGATCGCCAGGATTGATTTGGCTGATCTGGCTGGATAGATAGGTGTCCCCTTTCTTCCTCGCTGCTCCATTTGTGTCCCTCCTAAAGCTTCAGGCTCAGTTGAAGAGGATGAGAGGACGACCCTCTCTGATAGAGGAGGACCATTCTTCTGTCAAAGGCATACAGGTATCTGGACTTCCCTGCTAGAACTTCCGAACAAGCTCAGAGAAGTTTCTTCTCGCGTCTGCACGGGTTCAGCACCACGGACAGCGCCCTCGTCGCGCTGTTCACAACCCTTTGACACTGGACTGCATTTTACATTTCAAAAAATACTCTCGTAAGAATTTCTGCATATCGTCTCATGGAAAAAAAAAAAAAAAAACTATGTTTAAATACATAGCATTTGCCTTTAGTATATAAGAGTATAGGTATTTTTTTAAGTTCTTATTTTTATGAATTCTGATTTTTTCCTTAGTAAATGTTATACTATATATTTGTAGAAGCTAAAAATAATAAATCAGCTTTATTATAATTTTCATGGTTTCCAGAATCTTTTCCTCCTGTTTCCCATAGCTTCTGTTTCTATCCTCACAGACTCTCCTCCTCTCCTCCAGAACATTAAGTTTGATGTGCTTGGGCTTCCAGATAGCAAGAGGGAGAATTGCAGTGGAATGAAGACTATTTCCTGAACTCCACTGGCACCATGTGCTGGTGTCCAAGAGGCAAAGCAGGCAGACAGACAGACAGACAGACAGACACACACACACACACACACACACACAAACGAGAGGGAGGGACTCACTTCCTACCAACTAAAACCACATTTTCCAGCCGGGTGCGGTGGCTCACATCTGTAATCCCAGCACTTTGGGAGGCTCAGGTGGGCGGATCACCTGAGGTCAGGAGTTTGAGACCAGTCTGGCCAACATGGAAAAACCTTGTCTCTACTAAAAATACAAAATTAGCTGGGTGTGGTGGCACATGCCTGTAATCTCAGCTACTCAGGAGGTTGAGGCAGGAGAATTGCTTGAACACAGGAGGCGGAGGTTGCAGTGAGCCAAGATTGTGCCACTGCACTCCAGCCTGGGCAACAAGAGTGAAACTCCGTCTCAAAAAAACAAAAAGAAAAAGAAAACAAAATTTTCCGAGCTGTCCTTCTGAAACCCGGTTATTTCTTTCCATGCATCTAAAGAGACCTATGTTCCATTTCCAGCTTTCTCATGAACTCCTTAGGTTAAATATGGGAAAAATCTATTTGGACTCAGTCTTGCCTTCTGCCGAATAAGGACTAGGTTGTTTCTAAAGCCTCTTTCGTCGCTGTCCTTCTTAATAGTCCTAGGATGCTTTTAAAAAATTATTATTATTTCAGCCATGCCGCTCAGGATTCACTGTATTCTTGAAGGTCCCTCCCATAGGCCACCCGCTTCAACAGAGCCTGGACTCTGCTGCCCTCTACTGGACACTCTGAGCACCTGCAGGCACCATGCCGCTTCTCAGCCATCCCCTCCTGGCCTGTCCTGTGAGAAAAATCCGTTACACTTGACACTTGATTATGTCCATATTTGCCATCAAAATCCTGTTTCTTTTCTTTTGAGACAAAGTATAACTCTTTCACCAAGGCTAGAGCACAGTGGTGTAGCCATTGCTCACTGCAGCCTTGAGATCTTGGGCTCAAGAATTCCTCTTGCCTCAGTCTCCCAAGCAGCTGGGTCTTCAGGGACCCACCACCACACCCAGCTAATTTTTAAACTTTCTGTAGAGACTGGGTTTCACTGTGTTGTCCAGGCTGGTCTTGAATTCCTAGGCTCAAACGATCCATCCACTTCTGCCTCCTAAAATGCTGAATTCCAGGCGTGAGCCACTATGCCCAAGCCTTTTTTTTCTTTTGAAAATTTGCAAATCTACAGGGAAGTTAAAAACAATAAGGTTTAAAAAGTGAACTCTAGCTGGGTGTGGTGGCTCATGTCTGTAATCCCAGCACTTTGGGAGGCTGAGGCAGGTGGATCACCCAAGGTCAGGAATTCAGGACCAGCCTGGCCAACATGGTAAAACCCTAACTCTATTAAAAATACAAAAATTAGCTGGGCGTGGTGGCACATGCTTGTAATCCCAGCTACTCAGGAGGCTGAGGCAGGAGAATCGCTTGAATCCTGGAGGCAGAGGTTGCAGTGAGCCCAGATCGCACCACTGCACTCCAGCCTGGGTGACAGAGAGAGATTCCATATTTTAAAAAATTGCACACATATATTTATATATAACAGTGAACCCCCTATAACTCTCACCTGGAGTTATCATTGTTAACATTGTGTCTTATTTGCTCTAAAGTGGTATGTACTTTTGAATTTAGCAAAATTGAAAATTAAAAATTAGAAAAGTTACAAATGAAAAATTACCACTAACCTGACTTTAAAAAAAAATTTAGATTCAAGGGGTACAATATACAAAGGTATACAATATACACAGGTATATTGTATAGTGTTGAGGCTTGGAGTATGAATAAAACCATCACACAGGAAGCAAGCATAGTAACCAATAGGTAGTTTTTTTGTTTTTGTTTTTGTTTTGAGGCGGAGTCTCGCTGTCACCCAGGCTGGAGTGCAGTGGCACAATCTCGGCTGACTGCACCCTCCACCTCCTGGGCTCAAGCAATTCTCCTGCCTCAGCCTCCTTAGTAGCTGGGAATACAGGTGTGCACCACCACACCTAGTTAATTTTTATATTTTTAGTAGAGACGGGGTTTTGCCATGTTAGCTAGGCTGGTCTCCAACTCCTGACCTCAAGTGATCCTCCTGCTTTGGCTTCCCAAAGTGCTGGGATTACAGGCGTGAGCCACCGTGCCGGGCCCCAGTAAGTATTTTTCCAACCCTTGCCCCCTCCCTCTTTGCTTTTGGAATCCCCAGTATCAACTGTTCCATATTTATGTTCATGTGCACTCAATGTTCAGCTCCCACTTGCAAGTGAGAACATGTGGTATTTGGTTTTCTGTCTTTGTGTTAATTCATTTGGGATAATGGCCTCTAGCTGCATCCACATGGCTGCAAAGAACATGATTTCTATTTTTTTTTTCTTTTTTGAGATGGAGTCTTGCTCTGTCACCCAGGCTGTGGAGTGCAGTGGTGCAATCTCGGCTCACTGTAACCTCTGCCTCCCAGATTCAAGCGATTCTCCTGCCTCAGCCTCCAAGTAGCTGGGACTACAGGTATGTACCACCATGCCTAGCTAATTTTTTTATTTTTAGTAGAGACGGAGTTTCACTATATAGGCCAGGATGATCTTGATCTCGACCTCATGATCCCCTTGTCTCGGCCTCCCAAAGTGCTGGGATTCCAGGCCTGAGCCACTGCACCTGGCGGACTTCATTCTTTTTTATGGCTGCATGGTATTCCACGGTGTACGTGTTCCACATTTTCTTCATCCAGCCCACCACTGATGGATGCCTAGGTTGATTCCATGTCTTTGTTATTGTGAATAGTGCTGCAATAAACATACAGGTGCAGGTGGCTTGGGGGTAGAATAATTTATTTTTCCTTTGAGTCCATACCCAGTAATGAACAATCCTCAGTTTCCATACACCTTCACTTTCAGACCTGCCACCTGCCCCCATAGGTCTGGTCATCTGTGGCCATGGAAGGGGGCATTTAACAAGGCTTTGGACCCACATCCCTCCTGGAACTGAAATCTCAGCACCTTCCCATTCTCCATCCCATCTCTGCAACAGAGAGGCAGGACAGAGCAGCCAGACCAATAGGCTGTCCAGGTCCACTCTTGGTGAGCCATTGACTACCTGCGTGAGCTTGGGCAGTAGCTTCTCTCCGAACCTCTGCTCTCTCAGCTGTAAAAAAAACTGAGTGTCCACCTACCATGTGCAAAACACCTTTCATCATTACCTGTCTACCAACGAGGGCAACTGAGGCAGACATCCTAGCAACTTGCTTAAGATCATGCAACCAATGGTACAGCCTGGCCAACATGGTGAAACCCCATTTCTACTAAAAAATACAAAAATTAGCTGGGCTTGGTGGTTGGTGGTTGGTACCTTTAATCCCAACTACTCAGGAGGCTGAGGAAGCCTCTGGTTTTTGTTGTTGTTGTTGTTGTTGTTTGTTTTTTTGTTTGTTTTTTGACACTGAGTTTCGCTCTTGTTACCCAGGCTGGAGTGCAATGGCGCGATCTCGGCTCACCGCAACCTCCGCCTCCTGGGTTCAGGCAATTCTCCTGCCTCAGCCTCCTGAGTAGCTGGGATTACAGGCACGCGCCACCATGCCCAGCTGATTTTTTGTATTTTTAGTAGAGACGGGGTTTCACCACGTTGACCAGGATGGTCTCGATCTCTTGACCTCGTGATCCACCCGCCCCAGCCTCCCAAAGTGCTGGGATTACAGGCTTGAGCCACTGCACCTGGCCTGTTTTGGTTTTGTTTTTTTGAAACAGGGCTTGCTCCATTGCCCAGGCTGGCGTGCAGTGGTGTGAGCACAGCTCACTGCTGCCTCAGACTTCTGGACTCAAGCAATCCTCTTGCCTCAGCCTCCTAAGTAGCTGCAAGTATTTTTTTGACCCTTGCTCCCTCCCTCCCTCTCTGATTTTGGAGTCCCCAGTGTCAACTGTTCCCATATTTATGTCCACGTGCACTCAATGTTCGACTCCCACTTACAAGTGAGAACATGCGGTATTTGGGCACTGCCATGCTCAGCTAATTTTTAACATTTTAAAAATAGAGGCAGCGGTCTTGCTATGTTGCCCAGG